AGGGAAAAGATGAGAATGTTGACTCTATGCTTCAGAAGGTTTGATTTATTATTTTATGATATATATTATAGTAAAAGAATAAAAAAATTAGATTATGTATTGTGATATGTATTATATTATACTATACTATACTATATTATATTATATTATATTATATTATATTATATTATATTATATTACATTACATTATATTATATTGTATTATATTACATTATACTATATTATATTACATTATATTATATTGTATTATATTACATTATACTATATTATATTACATTATATTATACTATACTATACTATATTATATATTATGATATATATTATATATAATAAAATAATATATATCATTATTTTATGACATACATTATAGTAAAATTATAGTAAAAGATTTGATCAGAAGTTTAGCTAAGAATAGAACAAGCACGTTCTTAAGTCAAGAGTCTATGATAAGTGAAATAATTGTTTCCATAGCCAGCAGTATTTAGGTACTCAAACCTGTATATAATTTCAGAAAAACTGTATACAAACCTACATAAACGATCTTTTTGAATAATTAAATTGTTCAAGGAAAAAAAAAAAAAGTTCTGTTCCTTTTCTAGTGGTTTTAGAAGATGCAATGTAAACAATCAAAATCCCCCATCACCTCTTTGTCATGTGCAATAAGCTGGGTCTTCACGTGGCCAGACACCAAATTTACTCTTCCCAGAACCTGTCCTGTCTCCAGACCCCAAATAGTGCAGGTTGTGTCAATACTAGAGGTACCTGAAACAAAACCACTTTTATTAGCAAAATTAATATTGTCACAAATCATTTAATCACTTCCTGGGTTAATGTAACATCCCCCAACATCTACAGATCAAAACAGTCACGAGAACAGCACAGGACTAAAATCAAGAATGTCAAACAGCCAGCAGTCTTCCATGCATTTAAATGACCCAAACCTTTTAACTGCAGAAATAGCCTTCCACACAGGAATAAAGTGTAAATAGCTCATGTCTGCTTCAATCTATTCCAAAGCCTGATGCAACTGTGAGATCAGCTTTCCCATCCTGTACATCTCTGCTGTGTGCCAACCCCAAATTCAATCAGTGATTTGATGGCGTGTTATTATTAATTGATTGCTGATGTGGGCTGAAGGTGGGGTTAGCACTAAAGCTCTTAAGAGATGAGACATGTAACACACAAAAAACAAATAATGTAGTAAATAATTACTAGGACATATTATCACTGTTAATCTCTGGGCAAATCCCCCTGACATAAATGGCTGTTCTCTTCTGGGAAACAAACCTCTGCATCAGTCATCCTGGATTCACAATTTTTCCTGTAGGCTATAATTAAACCTTAAGTGTTCAGCCCCCTCCTCCAACTGAATGAAGGACTCTTGGCTCTCCTCCTGCTGCTGAAATGGCTTCACAAAACACACAGCTCAGTGCACAGTTTCAAATTCACTCCAGAACACCCAGAAATAAGTCACAGAGCTGATGGACATCCTTACTCAGAACTGCAACAACAGCTCACCAGCCCTGAAGGCCAAGACTCCCAATCCCCAAATGTCCCATGTCCAACCTGAGTGACCATTCTGCACTGAACAGGGCACCTTTCAATGAAAAAGAAGTCCCTATGAGATGATTGTTTTAATTTTTTAAAGTAAAACAACAGCAGTTTCTATGATGTAGCAGTCTGTGGTTAATTATCAGATTAACCAGTGGACATGCAGTGACACAACAGCAGTTACAGCCCAGACTTCATTAGGTTCAATTCGAAAGTGTGCCAAAACCATAACATTTTATCAGTCTCACCTAACAGGTAAGGATCCACTTCATTCCAGTCAAATGACGTCAGTGGAGCACAGAAATCCGAGTTCTTGTTGTTGTTCAGCAAACACTCCAGCCGGGTCTCAGTTTCACCCACCTTTAGAGAAAATCAAACATCTGAATTAAAAAGCAACATCACCTGACTTGTTCCCCTGGCACAAAACATTAGGAGTTAATCCTAGGTTTCTTTCCTCTCAGCTTTACATCCTAAAGCTCTGCAAAAACACAGCCACCAGCTCCATTTTCAATAAGCTGATTAAAACAGCAATTGCCATGATAATTCTGCTTCTCTTATAGTCCTCAAACAGTCACATTATTGCAGTCAAGAAAATCTTGTCTTGAGTGAAAAAGAGACCAATATATAACAGAATTCAGCTCGTGGTTCATTTCCTAGGGAGGGTTCACTCACCCTCCACACTCGCAGGTAGTCACCACTGGTGGCCAGCAGGTCTGGGTAGACTCCCTTGGTGTCTGGGATCCACATCAGCTTTGTGGTGGGGTAGGGGTGATCAAAGGTGTTCCTGCAAATGAATTCTGAGCTCTCTTCATCCAAACCAACAAGCTGCACCTGGGAGAAACCATATTTAAAAGAAAGCTTTTAATCAAAATACTAATTTCTAATGACAGCATTAAGACTGAGTGGGTTTCAGGGCATTTTGTGTCACCTCAAGGACGACACAAAAGGATCATCATGTCAATGAAATGAGAAATCATTAAGTGCTGCTGGGGCATATAAGTAAAGAGAATATCCATAATCACAGTGCTTTGATTTGAAGAGATGATCCCAAATGAACTGAAATCCAATCCTGAAGGATTAAAGACCACCCTTCTCTTTTCCACATCACAAAACCCAGTTTAAATCACGCACTAAAACTGCACAAACATTATTCCAATTCATCCTTAACTGAACTGGTGCTGACAATGTCATCTTCAGAGAGCAAAACAAGCTGTAGTTTGCACAATTAAAGTGCATATCATGGAATTCTTGGCCATAACCTTGCAGACTGTGATGGATCATGTCAGGTAGCTGGCAAGCTTTTTCAGCACCACATGACTCAAAATATTCTGTCACAAGTGCATGAAAAACTCATAAATTAATCACATCAGAGAGGAAGAAAGTAAAACAGAATTCAAACTTATTGGGGAGCTAAAATGGTTACATAATTATTTAAATGTTTTGCGTGAACAAAGCAAGAAAGCAGGTCTGCTGAGAGATTCTAGGGAACTGAACTCCAAATTAGAATTTTTGCACAATGATGTGTCAGGGGGAAGGGCTAAACTTGCCCCATTGTGAGAATGATGCAAAACAAAGCAAACAAGAAACCATCTCCACACAGCCTGGTCATGACAGCACCTGAAGTAATGCCTGAAATCCCAGACATGATGTTATTAGAAAAATATTGACATGTCAGAAAGTGTGCAGAGAACAAAAGGTGCTGGGAGGACTCGTTAAACCTGCAGTGACTCAGGACCCAAACAGGATGAAAGTCCCACTGTGTGAAATGCTGCTCAAACACAAACGTTATGGGGACCACTCACTGCAATCAGTTTGTAAGCTGCTCACAGTTGGAATTTCCTACTACTTTCCACACAGCAGCTTTCTCATGAGAAGAGTAGTTTAATGGACTTTTTAAAAGATGTTTATCTGAAAAATTCCTGAATTTATGCATATCCCGGGATAAGCAATTTGTCTAATCAACTACACATTTCAGCTAGATGGGAAATTTATCATATTTTCCCCCCATAACAGAAATGCTTCCGTTGATCTTAAAATTTAATTAATTTGCAGTTTTATGAACTCATTTAGAGATTTTCTTAAATGCAGAGCCTTTCCCCTCCTCAATGAGAAGCTCCATCCTTTCCATCTCATAACAAAGACTAAAAGATGCAGCCAATTATGCTTCCAAAAACTGAAATACAGCCTTTATTACAACTACTCCTTACTATCCTTCACAACCTAGTATAAATCAGTCAAAAATCTCCCAGACTTCCAAAGTGATTGACAAATAGCTTCCTAACTCCTTTAGGATCAGAAGTACTAAGCAGATTTTACAAAGGAAGCAAATTGTCCTTGGTGATAGAAAATCTTATGGCAAGGTTAGATCAGAAGACAAATGACCTCTAATCATTTCTCCTTTGCTTATGCTGTTTTCCACTCAACATGAGTGTATTAATCCTACACAAAGCAATCAACATCCTGATCACCAGAAGCAAATCTCAAACAGCAAAATATCCCCTTTCACTGGTGTTAATGTAAATATTCCTGCACTGCATATTCCCATTTAACCCCTCCTCAGACCTGAAGATGAAGCAATTCAGTATCTCTGATATTTGACATATTTAGGCTGGGTTAGGGAACAGAAATTGTGTTATCACCAGCAGAGCTGCTGCAGCTCAGGTGCCAGCCCAGCCCTCAGAGCTGGAGCAGCAGCACTGCTTGAGAAGCTCTGCTCTTCCAAATTCCAAATTCAGAGCTGGGACTCTTTTTGGGGACTCCAGCACACACAGTGATTGCAGAACCCCTCCACTCACCCTCTCCTGCAGGCTGAGCACCAGGGGATGGACCATGGGATTCTCTCTAGGATGTTGATTATATCAGAGCCCTGTCTCTCCCCTGTGCAAGTGAGGAAGAATGCTGAGACTGAGGAATGCCCATGGGAAAGTAGCTGGATACAATTTGAACCATCCTACATCTCCCTGTAAGTTTTTCCAGTGAGAAAACAAACATCACTGTGTTCAGTCTCAACCAGTTTTGTGATTATGCCATGACAGTAACTAGGAATGCTAAGTATTTATTTGTTGCTCCAACACTTCAAGATAGGAAAATCCACATCTAATTTTAGCATTTTATAATCCAAGCACTTACAATATAAAGCATAATTGCAACAGTGCATGTCCGTAAACAATCACCTTAAATCAGCATTCCTTAACTTCTAAAAAAACCCTATTTCCAACTCGATACTAAAGAATCAGAACTAAATGATGCAGAATTTGGTAACAGCTTCTTTTTCTTATATGGTTGGAGGAACTGTGAAGTCCACAGTAGGTTGAAAACCCCCAAAACTTTAATCTAATTAGTAACTACCCAAAATGACATTTCACTATTATTTTAGGGTCATGTACAATCAGAAAGATGTCACTGCACCAATTAATCTCCAGCATTCAATCAATTTTTCTTTGCAGTGCTAGATCTCACAGAACAAATGAGGTTCTGGCAGAAGAACTGCCCTGAACCCTGCTTGGGAGGAGGTGGAGATGTGGGCAGCACCTGGTCAGAACCTGTCTGCTCCAGTGCTGTGCACACCACAACCTCTGCTCCCTCCTAAACTGGATTCCACCTTTGTCTTGCAGATAGATCCCAAAAATCAGCCTTTCCTGGTGTTTTCTACAGATATCTCCTGATCCACGAAGCCACAGCCAGGAGCATTTTAAAGAGCAATGAACACTGTTCCCTCCCATCGTGACACTGACCCATGAGGGTTAGAGTGGCTCACTGCAGTTTCCCAATCCAAGTTAAGGAAACACCACCTCAAATTATTGAATTCCTCCATCCAGAGCAAGGCATCTGTCTTCTTGTAGCAGTGATTTGATCAGTGAAGGTGGACAAGCTGAAACAAAACTCGCTGGGGTTCAAACAGGTCTTGGCAAGCAGCTTCAGTCTGTGCCCCAGAGCCCATTAATGTGATGGCTGACAGGGTGAGCAGATTTGCTCTTTTACCTTCTCAGAGTACAGACTAGAAAAATGTTTCCAAGCTGGTCTTTGAACAAATTGGAAGCTTTCAAGCTCAGGCCCTTCCTGTCCCTAGGAGCATTTCCAGGTCTCCAGGAGAAGGACACAACTCTCACACAGGGCTGATACTGCCTGGACTACAACGTGCTCAGCAAAGCCCACACTGAGGACTGCTGTGAGGGCAGGGATCCAACCACCCTAAGAGATGTCACCACACCCTTGCACAGAGCCCTAACCCCAACATTCTGACAGCACTTTCCCCAATCTCCATTAAACACCTTGACAAAGCTACATGGTATAAACCAAGCTCTATGGGCAAACTTTCAATTTCACAATGCTCTATAATTTCATCCATCTTCTCATCTCTATTTCTATGTAATTCATTATACCAGACCAGCACCTTGAAGGTTGCTCAGAAGGGACTGCACACGTGTTCTGAGAGATGAACACAGTCTCTGTTCCCAGTGTGACATTCTTCACTTACACTTTGCAGGGAAACACTGAAGATACAATCTCATGCCTCATTACACCCTTGTTCTCAGGGAAAAGTACTGAGGAATCAATACTGAGAGTGGTTTATATACTTATGAAAAAGTTATCACCACAGCAAGAAAGTACAACGAGAACAGCACATTTCCAACAGCCTCAGACACTCTGTACATCACAGAATCACAGGGGTAGGAAGGGAACTCAGCTCATCCAGCCCAATCGCCTTTTCCAGGCAGAGTAACCTGGATCAGGTAACACAGGAACACATCCAGGTGGCTTTGGAACGTCACCAGAAAGGGAGACTCCACAAGCTGCTTGACCAACCTGTTCCACAGCTCTGCCACCCTCCACGGAAAGAAGTTCTTCCTCCGATTGAGGTGAATTCTTTATATCTATATGTACAAACCTCAATCCTGGCCATGAACTTTCCTCTGCACTGACCAAAAAGCCAGACAAGCCCAAGCCAGAGGATCTTGTTTTATTCTACAGCAGCAGCATCCCCACTCATCCCATACTCACACCTTTAGTTCCCAGCCCTTTACACCAGAGAGAACTCACAGCACACGGTGTTTGTATGACTGAAGCCAACCCAATCGTTAACACCGAAGATCAGAGGTCACCAGAAGCCTGCAGCAGCGTTATCCCAAACCCAGCAGCACCCAGGGCTCGCTAGAAGGAGACCAGCCTGACCCTGGTGCAGCTCCCTCACTTCGGGGGGCACCCGATGGTTCTGTACCGCTGCCCCCCGCCCACCCAGCCCCGGGACGAGGCGG